ACACCCTGTATATATATACATATATCCCGGTGAAAATCGAACGAACGTCAACGGTTATTACTCCCGAGCTGTCTTTTCCGTTTTGTTTTTTGTTTTTCTTAACCCTTTCGTTTCCACTGTTGCCGTATGACTACGTACTCGAAATTACGAAATAAAATATTGGTATCGTGTATTTTTTCGTATCTGTGACTATATAATAGTTTCTTCTAGTCGTGTATAGATGATACGGCGCGAATTCGAATGTGCATTTAAAAGTAAGAAATTATCGGTCCTTTGTCTATTTCATTCGATTGAACTCAAGTGTTGAGCATTGTTACAAACACAATGGAAACTTGAAGAACTCTAATTTATTTCAAGGGGGTTTATTATTCAAAGGTAAGAAAAATTGGGTTTTATTATGTATAATAACATTATAATGGGAATTATTATACTGTGATATAAAAAAAAAATGTTCTTACGAACAATTTGTACGTCATGTAATATACAGACTAATAACAAGAAAATATATTTCTGTGGTAATTTTTCGATAATTCGGGAACGAAAGGGTTAACAATTTGTATTCGTCACAGTCATCGTTCGTTCGCGATTTCCATTCTCTTCTGTAACTCTTATGTGTGCTACAAATATGTTTCTCCTTTTATACGCTATCTTCTCTCTTTGTCGTCGTCCAATTATGCTTTAGCGTTTCACCGTTTTCTTTTTTTTTTTACACGATTTAAGCCTGTGAATGAACTCGAGGGAGACACACGTTAAAGAAATGATGTACGGAGAATCGATATCGAAGAAAAAAAAAAAAGAGGGAAAAAAATAATACAATACTCGCCCCGGAATACGGTGTGTACAATTCGCGATCTGCGATCGATAACGAGCGATCGTTTCCCACATAGACTGATATTGCCACGAAGACTCGATAAATAAGGTGCCATCGACGAAAGATGACGCGAAACATACGTAAAAGAAAAAAAGTTCCTTTGATAATAAAACGTTTTAGGGAGGTAGGCGTAGCAAGTAAGCGCGATTCGAACAATCGAAAGGAAAAAAAAAGAAAGAAGAAGAAGCAACGCCCTCGTGCCCCTATGAGATTAAGAAAGAGGGGATGATGGTTACGTATCGGTCGTCGTTTAATTTTTCGTTCCTTTTTTTTTGTTTTTTTTTTTTTTTTTTGTTTCGTAAACGATAGAGTTTCGTTTATCTCGAGGCGATTCTTACGTATACTATTATTCCGTAATTTTATTGTCGTACATAAGACGAACCGCGCGCACACTTGTCCACGGCCTCGCGATGCGCTCTCGTCTCCGTTTTTAGTTTTTATGGTATGTTTCTTTTTTTTTTATTCTACCGGTTCCACTTACACGTCGTATAAACTATTTATAATTGCAAGTGTTATTATACCATTACAGGACGTTTCTTTTGTATACGATTCGCTCGAAGGGACGACAATGGTCTCGAAACACGATATTTACAATTGAATTTACTTGTCAGGAAGAAGTTTTAATAAAAAGAACAAAAAACTCTCCGATGATATACATGAAACACCGCATCACCTTCGTTTTTATTCTTCTGTTTTTCAATCGCTTCGAATCATCCAGTTTCGTGTGCATGGGCGTAGCCAGGTTATCAGTCAGAGAGGCAACGGGCGGGGGTAAAAATATTAACACATCGACTGCCACAGTGAAAAAGGCCGTACGTAGCCAGACACGCTTTATTTTGTTTTTAAAGTCATAAATCGCTGAAAATATATACGTTCTGTTAATAGAGGCTGTTGATCGTGTTTCAAATTATACTGCAATATTAAATATTATGCAAAAATTTTGTGACTCTGGGAAGAAAGAGGGGAGGGGGTACAAAATCCAATTTTTCAATGAGGCAAAAGCCACATTCTTCCCCTGCCTACGCCCATGTTCGCGTGTGTATATATATTTCTCGTCCTGGGTAACTCGTCGCGTGCTCCGAATGATTCTCGAGCGTGTGTGTGTGTTCGCCTCTGTTTCCCTGATTTTTCTGTAGGCTGCGTGACGGAACGTGAACGTTATTTATCGGGGGAATCGTCGGTGTTATTCGTGTTTAAGAACCGTGCACACCTCCGTATGGCATATACAAAACACCATAAGGTACGCGGAATCTTCTCCCCTTCCTTCTCGTTTACCCGCGAAGATACCCCCTCTCCCCTTTACGTGTGTGTTGCCTCGGTTCCGAGAGACCGCAGGAAACTTTCCCCAATCTTCAGGTCGCGATCGTCTCCCCCTCCGCCCACCGAACGCCTGCCGGTTCGTTTCCACCTTGGGTTGGTCCACTCGATGGCGAACTACCGTGCGGAACCACCGTTGCGTTCTCAGTCACATCGTGCGTGAACGAAACGGACAGGAGAAACGAAAGAGACAATAGAACAGAATGAAAAGCAACCTTCGATGTCCCCCACCCCAGCCCTCCCCCGCCCCGCACGGGATGCAAATATCGGTGTTCTCCTCGAGGCGTAAACAGAGAGACGTACCCTTAAGAAAAAAAAAAAAAAAAAAAAACATATACGATCGCATAAGTATGAAGCTGTCTGTGTGCCTCTGTGTGTATGGGAACACTTTTTGGATTGTGTGCGCAGAATCAGAGCACGATACCACCACTACCGCCAACACGTCTATTGGGATTCATCGTTCCATGGAACAACAACAAGAACAACGTCTGGAACAGCTAACGACGACACGTCGAGGGGATCACAGGCAACAAAACGAATACACGAGACGCGGCAGGTCTAAGACTCTGCACGACGTGACCGGTCGGTGGGTGTGCGACGTCTGCGGCCGCGTTTACAACCGTGGCGACTCCTTGGCTCACCACCGTAGCATACACAGGGGAGACACCGTTTGCCCGATCTGTCGGACTGTGTTCACGCGAAAGTACTCGATGCGATGCCACATGCTGAACGTCCACGGCGCCAAGTAAACCGCCACCGACCGGGGACATCATATTCTGGAACTGATACGAATGCGTGGACGATCGATTCGTTCGACGAGATTTCAATCCGTATATCGAGATTCCGTCGATCACACGTGACTTTCGCACGTACGGCCCTCCGCACGCGACACATTTTCGAGCGCGACGTAAAGAAAATATGAGGATTTACCTCGAGGAGATGCGACGTTCGAGAACTTGAATAGAGTAATAGAGAGATTTAGATGGAAAATAAAATCAAGAGAATTCAGATTGACGCGGGTTCTTCATGCTCCTGATGGCCGGTTTATCCAATGTCGCCGCGTATCACTTCCAAGAACTGATACGACTGAACATTAAACGGTGGAAATACGAGGAGAGAGAGAGGGGGAGGGGAACAGATGTCCTCGATTGTCAGGTACAAGGATCATCGTATATCTTCGTTTGTATTCGAACTGTGATTGGTAAAAAAAAAAAAAAAGAGAATTAATAAAAAGAACGTAGAAAATGGCTTTCATTTCTTCGCTGCGAAAACGATCGTCGCGACGAATCGCGTGATATATTATTTCGCTATTCGTTTGACTCCATATTACACACCCACATACACGCACGTACCCGTACAAACACACATTACATATCCACGCTCGCATTTAAGTACCGCGCGCACCGACTTACAAGGAATACGTGTACATGATTGTCGGTTCACCGCACAGGGCAGGGGCGTTCGACGAAGCGTCGTTTCCTTTTTTCGAGCAATCGAACGGAGTACAACGAAGTTTCTTTGTTTTGTTTATTTTTTTCCTATCGTAATTTCCTGAACGTTCAAACCGACCGATCGATCGCCGTGATCGAGACAGCGAACAGCTTGATGTGTGTATGTGTGTGTGTGTGTGTGTGACTTTTTTCACTATCCAATGCATAATATATATTTCTAACTGCAACCGTTCGACCGCACACTTCTCAGAACCATAGGATCTCCTCCGATATTCTTCTGCATGAATATTAAATACTCTATTGTTTTTTTCTTCTACGTACGTACGTTGTTTTGTTGTCGTTGAAACATTGTATCCTACCCAACCCCAACCGCTCATGTTATGCCCAACCCCGTTTTTTTTTACCACCTTTGTATTACACGCAGTAGCATGATATAATCGCTCCAAGAAATTTTTACAATTGCGTGTTTACAGATATATCACCATTCGTGATTGTTCTTTGTACAACTGATCGTGTGTGCTGCCTTTTCTTACACCGTTCGTCTCTCTCCAGAGATGATTATTGCCTAAACTCTGTTTCACGTAGTAATAACCTCGTTTCGCGCTTGGGACGGGCATCGAAGGCCGTTCATTGGTTGAAAACCGGCAGAGATAGCGAGCTACAAGCAATCGCATGCGTCCGAATCGGACGGCAGTATTGGGGGCTGCGCAGATCGGTCAGCAATAGTGGGGGCTGCGCAGATCGGTCAGCAATAATGGGGACTCTGCAGATGGGTCGACAGTAGTGGGGGGCTGCGCAGATCGGTCGAAAACTCGTCCGAGCGTGAGGTTAGTTTTGCTTGGAACAGAGTTTAGTATAGATCGCACGGAGATGACGTAGTAGCGAGCGAGTGAGAGTGCAAAGTAGATAGGCAACGCGTGCAAAAGTAAACAAACAAATAGAAAAAGAACGAATTAACCGAGGAGAGAGATCCAAAAGGATAAATCCAAGAGAATAAAGGGAAAGAAAAAATGGAATGATTGTGTGCGATGTTGTGTGTTGTATTCGAACGATAATGTAGTGTTTGTGGTTGTCTTAACGATCGTTCGATGGACAGAGAGAGACCAAAAAAAAAAAAACAAAAAGAGTACGCACGGCAGCAGCAGCACCGTGTGTTTGTCGTCATAGTAATCGGCGAGCCGACGATAAAATTAGGAGGTTAAAATTCTGGAGAATAAGAACGAGAATAGGATGTTAAACGGTGTGTCGTATCGGGCAAATACGATCACCGACTGTGCGATTAGGGGATCCGAAAACCGGGGTTTAGCCAGGGTGGGTGCCGTACTCTCACCTGCCACATGAAACGTTTATATCTGATTTAGATTCACGTACGGTGGTCATCGAACAGCCGTCGCATTCGTGCAAACTCTGCGGTAAAACGTTTTGGAATCGGGACTCGATGTACAAACACATGAACATGCACAAAGGGACCACGCAGTGTCCGGTGTGTCATAAAGTGCTGAGCCGCACCACCCACATGAAGAGACATTTAAAGAACCGTCACGGTTGGCTCGGGGTCGGATCGACAGCCGCCGCCGCCGCAGCCGCAGTAGCGAACGCCGCAGCAGCAGCCGCCGCCGCCGCCGCAGTAGCATCAGCCACCTCGACTGGCGGTACAACCGCAGCCAGCGCAGCAGCCGCCACGACAGCCGCAACCGCGACTACTGGGAAAGTCGCGAAAACCGGTGGTGTTCCGGTAGTCACCGGTGTGACGGGCGGCGCTTCCGTCGCGGCTGACGCCGCGGCCGCGACACCGTCCCCCCCGACCCCAATATCCGTCTCCTCGACGGCGATCGCGCGTCAGAACGCCGGAAGTCCCAGCGACGCCCTCGAGCCGAACGCCACCTACACCACTATACGCATCAGGGAGAGTAGCGTCGAGCGAATCACATCTAGTCCTATTCCTTAGTGCGAATCACCGTCATCTCCCTATGCCTTCTCTCCTGGAGCCAGCAGCGACACTACGACGACAACAACGTAGATGCCCGTCGACGGAAGAGACAGAATAGACCTTGGAACGAGAGATTCTCCGTCGTTCCTCCTCCCCCCCATTTACCCTGTTCTATTACGCGTATATATACAGAGGTATATATATATATATAGAGATATACTCGAAGGGTCGTTCTCTGGATCGTAATCCCGTTAGAACGATTTTTAGATTTTAACCGTACTTTTACTTCGATGCGTATTGGTGTTTCTTTTTTCCAAAGCAAAGTCCACTTTTTTCGAGAATTATCTCCCTTCGCGTGCTTATGCTGTTCCTCCCGCCCCCCCCCCCTTTCGCGAAATCGCGTTAGTTCGAGCAACGAACAAAACTTCCCGATACTTTGGAATTTCGTGCACGAACAGATGTTCCAGGGACGTCTCCGTAAGACGGAAGAAACGGAGTTTCTTACAGTCTGGATTGATTCCAGGTAACGGAGGCGGGAAAAAAAATACGAACTTTCCGAAGCATTAGCCCTTTATAAAATCTATTCCACTCTAGTCGTCGACGGGATACACCTATTATAAATGATGCCTGTCTCACCACTGTACGCCCTAGTCATTTGTGTGCATGACGCGCGCGCGCGCGTTGCGTTGCGTCCTGCGCTTACCTTTTATTGTATATGTGTATATGCATATGAGAAAATGAGAGAAAGAGACGGAAGAAGAGGAAGAGGATGAAGAGAAACGTAAGAAGCGACGAGAGGAAGAGGAACTCCTAAGTAAAACGATTTTCTAACCAAAGATATACACGCGTACATCCTCACACACACACATACACATACGTACCCTTACGAGCAGACTCGACTTCCGTTATGGGAAAAAGTGACATAAGAAAAGGGCCTCCTACGACTTGGTAAATTTATTTCAAGTAGTGAAAGAAATTTTTAATCGAATGTTAATTTGGTATAAATTTCAGTAATTAACAATACCAAGTGGTGGAAGGCCCTTCTCCTACGGCACTTTTTTTTCCCCTAGCGGAAGCCTAGTTCGCACGTCAGTGTACCCTCACGAGCAAACTTCGTTTCCGCTAGGAGAATAAGTGACATAGGAAAAGGACCTCCTACCACTTGGTAAATTTATTTCGAGTGCCGAAATAAATGTTAAATGTTAGTTTGGTATAAAATTCAATAATTCCCGATACCAAGTGGCAGAGTTGGGCAACATGTAATCTAATTACAAAATCCGAATCACAATTACAATGTAATTGCAATGTAATTAGTAATACAATTACAATTACATAGTAATTAACTATAGTAAATTTACAATAAAAATTACAGATAATTGTAAAATTACAGTAATTGTCCCGAAATTACATTGCAATTACATTGTAATTTGAATTTTGATTTTGTAATTAGATTACATTTTGCCAAACTCTGCCAAGTGGTAGGAGGCCCTTCTCCTAGGTAATTTTTTCCCCTAGCGGAACTCGAGTTTGCACGTCACACACACGGAAACGGAGAGGAAAGAGCAAATTATTTTATCTAGTCAAAATGAGTTCGGTACTTAAATAGCGTTAAGGAGGAATGTGCATCTTTCTTGCGATCGATCGATCGATCGATCGATCGAGAATATTGAAACCGACGAAACAACGGTGAGACTGAACGTAAATCGATTTAATTGTTTTTCTCCAGGCAACGATATTTCTCTTGATTGGTAGCTAAATTAATTTCGATTGATTCACGACGATGCCATTCGAGATCGTCGTGGCTGGACACTAATTTTGCAATATATCGATCGTGGACGCATCTTTCTCCGCGAATCGACGAATCGTCCGATTATTTAAATCGAAGCATTGAATTGTGTCCCGCGTATACTTTTATAAGCGGTGCCATTAAGAGGATGCTTTTTATCGAATGTACAACAATAATAACAAACACCAAAGCTCGTGCCATTTTTCTCCGGATATATTTATTTCTTTTTTTTTTTTTTCGTGTTTACCGCATTCGAATTTCTCATTCGCGCGTCTCGGAGATTCGTCTTGCTCCTAGACTAGATTCGGCCATATTATATACATAATATATACATATATACATTCTTGATATTAGGCATACTCGTGTATTTTATATTTTAAGTTCGGAGACTTGCCCAATTTTCCGTAATACACCTAACTCAGACTTAACCACACGCGTATAAATTTTATATATAATAGATAATATAATATATATACATATATATATATATATATATAATATAAATTTTATTTTCGTTTATCCCGACGAGGGTGCCAAAGGCTAAGCCGCCCTCGTCCCGTATTACTATTACGTTATCTTTCTTTTGTTCATTTTATTGTGCTCATTGTTTTTTTTTTTTT